CTTTATTTATCTCTAGAAACCAATTATGAGTGAGTACATCCCAAGTTCATCTTTTTGGGTCTGGGTTACCTCACTCAGGATAGTGTGTTCTATTTCCATCCATTTGCATGCAAAATTCGAGAAGTCATTGTTTTTTACCGCTGAGTAGTATTCTAATGTGTATATATTCCACACTTTCTTCATCCATTCTTCCATTGAAGGAAAGGTCAAGGGTGATATTTTTCTTAATTTCACCTGGTTAATCCCAGTTCACTGTCCACCACAATCTTTTCTTCTCCCTTTTCCTGTCTTTCTCCATTTGTTTTCACACTCTTCTTTCGGCCTGAGGTTAAATGCTATAATACCGTTTAACCTCAGTTTGGACCAGTAAGAACCAAGCCATGTTTATTTTTTCTGAAAATAACATTCCTTGGAGTTTGGTATTTCTTTGACTTTTTGCCTCTCAGCCTGTTTGCCAAATCTATTTTGCTAAGAGAATTTATTAACATAACTTTATTTAAGGAGGTCATGGCAGATAGGATAGTAGCATAATGACTTTCGCTTGTGGTCAGGACTGGTGTATGAATGTGACCGTGGTCCCAAGAATGGCTGCTCTCTTCACTTTTCACACACTGATTCTGAATCCACTCATCTGGCAGGCGAATGTTGGAAATGAATGATGGCTGTGTCTTTTCACTGTCTAGAAAGGCCTGAGGTGACAGGGTGCTACCATTAGTCACATGCACTGTCTTCTGTTTTAAAATTGGGGCCAGGCCAGGCAGTGATGATGCACACCTTTAGTCCCAGCACTCGGGAGGCAGAGGCCGGTGGATCTCTGTGAGTTCGAGGCCAGCCTTGTCTACAGGCTGGACCGGCTCCAAAGCTACAAAGAGAAAACCTGTCTCAAAAAAACCAACCAACCAACGAATAAATAATAAATAAATGAAGTAAAGTTCTGGGTTGGAAGCCAGGTGTGATGACACATGTCTGTAATTCTGACTCTTGGGAGGCTGAGGCAGGAGGACAGTGAATTTGATGCTAAATTGTGCTACATAATAAAAGATCCTAGCTCAAAACAGGCAACAAGATAAGTAGTTATGTGTCTACTTGTCCTTGGTAGAGTTCTTTTCCTAGTAAAAGTGATGGGTGCAGTGCCGTATCTGTTTCCCTGGGACATTTGCTCACACTGACAAAATGTCTCACCAATAAGAAATATGCAAGTGAGTCCTGACCCTGGTCTCCTGAACAGCCCGAGCTTTTCTCCAAAGCAAGGCAAGGAGAAAAATGAGCATGCCCCAGGAAACTGTCCTAAAAGGTTTATGTAAGCACTCGTGATGTACTTAACTCGTGTGTGGAAGATTATTCCTTCTCTTCAGAATTGAATTGTTTTTCCATTTCAATTCTTTTATCATAAAAGCAGAATAATTTTTAAATGATCTCCAAATGATAAACATGAGTGAAAATATGATTTGTAATCTTTAATTTTGGTGTTGGATTATCCAAAAATGTCTTAACTTCAAAAGTATAGATATTAGGCCTATGGGAAGAAATTATCATGTCAATAATAATAATAAGTTAATAATAAGTGGGTGATTTTAGTCCAAATTTGTGTTGTATGGTGTAAGTTATGCTGGCATGTGGTTAAGATTTGTAGGGTCCGATGCTCCTGAGTTCAGAGCTAAGTGAGTGTTTTTTTTTTTCTTTTTAAATATTTATTTATTATGTATATAATATTCTGTCTGTGTGTATGCCTGCTGGCCAGAAGAGGGCACCAGACCCCATTACAGATGGTTGTGACCCACCATGTGGTTGCTGGGAATTGAACTCATGACCTTTGGAAGAGCAGGCAATGCTCTTAACCACTGAGCCATCTCTCCAGCCCCCTAAGTGAGTGTTTTCATTGCAGAGCCCTTCCTCAAGCTGTCAGGGTTGGCACTTCTGGAGCTATTCTGATGAGTGTCTTCATGGCTGCCCCAAGTAGATACTGCTTACCTTGTGTTTATGGAACATTTGGTTATCCTGAATCCTTAACCAGTGGCAGCTAACTTACAAAGCATAGTGGCAAAGCTGACCCACTGTCTGGGCTGTAGCTGATTCAGTTAGAGGTTTCAGAAGAGGGTTTGATAGTGCTCTTAACAATACCTGCCAACCAAGTAAGAGTTGACTTTCCCAAGATAATCCCTTTAGGAGGTGCTCCTTTAGACCATTACATTATGACTTTTAGTTTAAAAATGTTATTGATACACCTTGTGTAGTTACAATTCATAGTTAAGGATCCTGAGAAAATGTCTCTATTTTAATTTTATGGTAGTTTGTTAGGAAACAGATTTATGGGAGGATTACTAACAGTGCCGTTTATGTTTATTTAGCCATAGCCGTAATTATCTTATACCAACAATTAATTTTTTTTTTCTTTTTTTTTTTTTTTTTTTTTTTTGGTTTTTCAAGACAGGGTTTCTCTGTGGTTTTGGAGCCTGTCCTGGAACTAGCTCTTGTAGACCAGGCTCGTCTCGAACTCACAGAGATCCGCCTGCCTCTGCCTCCCGAGTGCTGGGATTAAAGGCGTGCGCCACCACCGCCCGGCCTCCAACAATTAATTTTAATAATTTCTTTAAAAACTCTGGACATAATTTAGTAGCTAGTGATTGTTGACTGAGGTTTTTCACAGAGGGCTCCCTATTTCTAAAAGTTTTTTAAATGCCAGGATTTGGTGCAATAGAATTCAGTTTGTATAGCTTGCAGCTGGAGACTGCAAATCTAGATGTGCCCTCTCTTTGTGCGCCTCTGCCACTGCCACTGCCATCTGGAAGTACTGAACTCATATATCAATGCCAAAAGTTAGAGTAGTCACTTGTAGACAGAGGTAGACTGCAGTTCAAGTCACACTGACATAGACACAGCAAAATCTCAGTCGTGACCAGAGCCCAAAAGTAACTAGAAAATTCATTTAGTGGCAGTACTAATGTTAATAGTTGCTACTTTCCCTGAAACTCAGTTATTTTGCTTTATTTTTATTATTGTATTATAATGGTCTATTTTATTAAAATGTAACTTAAGGACTAATTTGGAATTTATCCCTTCCCTACTTCCTGTAGCTTGACCATGACTTAAAACATGCCCATGAGCTCCGCCAGGCTGCATTCAAGCTCTATGCCTCTCTTGGAGCAAACGATGAAGACATCCGGAAGAAGGTGAGTCTGGGAGAGGGGCGTCCCCCAGTCCTGACAGCCAGCAGGCAGGGAGTGACGTCAACCTGAAAGTCGTGGTGAAGAGCACTAACAGTGACTGTTTGAATATAATAAAGCAGAGTGACAAAAGGCATAATTGAAGAATGAATGGGACCTGGATTTGGGGGGTTGTTTGTTTTTAGAACATAGAGAGGCATGGCCATGCTGGAATGATAAATAACTGGCCTGCTGTTTTGTGTCATTAATATGGATCATTATGTTGCACATTTTTGCATGTGTTCTGATAGAAGTCTTTCTAGCACTGTGAAGCTTTAGACACCTTGAAAGATCTAACACTAGAATTGTAAATGTTATTTATGGATATACCTTCTAATGCCATTGAGAAGTTCAAATCTCTATTGTATATTGTTCTTTAATAATGTGGCTTAGTTTTATGTTTTGATTTTTTAATTTTTATTTTATTTTTTGCTACTGTGCAAGTTTAATGTGAATAAAATCTTTGTGGAATGATGATTTTATGTTTAGTGAATGGTCATCTGAATTTTCCAGCTCTTCTAAAATGTGTCACTGGTCCCTCGTCCCCATGTTAGTCTAACACTGAACTCATGTTCTTTATGGAAGTAGTTCTAGGTAAGACGTACAGTGTAGTGTTAAATTCTAACCTGGCTCCCTGCACAAACTGAAAGGCTAGAATATACCACTCACAAACATACAATCTAATAGATTCCACACAAGGGGATTACAGACATGAACCAACAAAACCACATGTCCTGTCCTGAGTGGTCATAGTAGAAGAGCAACTAGGCACTATTTATTAACCATGATGATTTCCTGACTCTCTCCATCTGTATTGGTATTTTAAGGAGAATATGAGAGAAACTAAAAGTATTGTCACTTACCAGGATTGGAAGACTATGTTAGGCTTGTTAGAGACATAATGGAACCAACGTAAGTATGTTGGATGAAATAAATTGCACAAGAAACATCCTTGGAGAAACTGAAGTAAAAGCAATAAAGTTAGGGGCTTTGATTTTAAATCCAGTATAAAAAGCACAACTAACAGCTGATTTCTCCAGTGACCTCAGTCTAGTTTAACTAGCAAGAGGCTTTTGCTCTCTTACAGTGTGTTAGTATATGACTTGTACAGGTCATCTTTATCACCTGTGAACTGTTACTTCCAAGCAAACGTTAGAGATGTGATATTACTTGTGTCTAGCCATGGTTTATGGATGTTGACACTGAAGTATTTTGTTCACTTTAGACATGTGGTGTATCACAAGAGAAGACTTTTTCTTGATAACTCATGAGATACAATTAATGATGACATGGACTGTGTAACTTAAGTACATGCTGGTTTATTATTGGGTTATTAGGAAGCAGGAGGACTATTTTATCCATCCTTATATCTCCAAAAGACCATGTCCTAGACTAAAAGGGAGTTAGATAGATGGACCATATGGGGATAGAATGTGCATTTGTACATTTCTTTGTACTTTTTTGTCAATAAATATTGTTTTGGAATTGATGACTTGATACGTGATATCATGTTCTAGAAGTACTTGAACCATAACAGTCTAATCAGTAGTCTACTAAACTTGTATTTACAATGTGTACAATTTCCTGGTCAGGCTGTTGATCATTTCTGTAGAAAGATAACAAATAAAGAATAAGTTATAATTATTAACTATAGTTCTTATGTGTGTGGTGAAGAAAAGTTACTGTGCTATTCTTATGTGGTGGGATTACATAGAATTTTTAGGAAGTTATTTAATTCTGGGAAATTGATGAGTAGTTTACAGTTCATAGAACTCACTGAAGAAATTGTAAGGTGAGAGTTATAAAAAAAATTCCTGACAAACTGCTTAAAGGCTGGTCTTAAAAGTGGGAAACATCCTTATTTTTGGTATATAAAAAGTGATAACTTTTACTTGGAATGCATTCCTTTCTTTTTATTGAAATGATTATTTGGATAGGTTGAATTTACTTTTTCCATGAAATATATCTTTCTCTTTTATATATATGCCCTATGTAATTTGATGGTATTTTTGTGTGTGTGTGTAGATTCGTAATGTACACTGTTACTTTTTTAAATGTAGCATTTATTCTTGCCAACACAGAATTTCAGTGTACTGATATATGTGTGGATAATAATGATAAAGAATTTCAAGGACCGTAAGCCTACCCTCCCAGGTCCCTCAAAACAAGCTTTTCTAAAATTTATTTATTTATTGCATGTTTCAGCTGCAAAGATGAAATGTGCAGTTGGTCTGGTTTTCATATTGTAAACAGGAACATAATTCAGTAAATAATATGCGTCACAGTGTTTTATTATGTACAGTTAAGGAAAGGAGGAAGAATACAAGAAAACCAGAGCAAAAAACAGGGACAGTGAGAAGTATACACAGCTGTTAAAGGAGGACAGTGACCATCTGTCTTCCTAGAATTATCTCTCTCTCTCTTTCTCAGTGCTTTTAAAGATGGCTAAAGGTCTGTTGTGTTATCATTTCTTTGAGTCAGACAAAATGCAGTGTAAAACTGAACATGATCTCCATGTCAGAGATTTGTCTTCTTTGGAATCATGTCACTATATTGCCATTAAAAACAACAAAAGAATTCAGCTCTTCCTATGACTTAAGAAGAACTCAATAAATACCCGTTGAGCGGGAGTTGGGTGTGGTCTTACACATATATAATCCCAGCTCTTGGGAGGTTGGAAGCTGGAGAATCATGATTTCAAGGTCATTCTCGACTACATAGCAATCTTGAGGTCACTCTGGATTATATGAGATCACGTGTTAACCCTCCCCACAACTCTGCAAAATAAATAATAAATAAATAGATAAATAAATAAAATGTTGAGTGAATATAGAAGCAAAACTGCAGAAATGATGCACAGGGCGATGTGTCGTTTAGTATGACTGGGTCTTCCTTTCTCTTATGCATGGCAAAGTTGGTGTTTTTATTCCTGGCTTTTTAGCTTTTGTTCTATTACTCTGGCATAATTAGTAATTTTTTAACTGCTTGTAACATCTGGTCAGAAGGGTAAAAGAAAGACGGTTCTGACTGTAAGAGTGAAAAGCGTTCCCATTGATTGTGTCAGGAAGAGAGAGAATCCCAAGACAAAGTGGGAGTTAGAACTTGCTGCATTAAACTTAGAATTTAGCTTAACTATATCAAATGACCCTGATTCTTGAGTGGATTATGTTAGAATAAGGGCATGGACAAGAAATGAGAGCTCAGTAGAAGAATCCAGAATTTTTTAGCTGTAACTAAATTGATAGTAACCCCAAGTAAGCATTAGATCTGGTCTCTGTCAAGGGCAAATCCAATTTCTAATGATACCACATAATACATCTTTAATCCCAGTACTTGGGAGGCGGAGGCAGATGGATCTCTGTGAGTTTGAGGCCAGCCTGTTCTACAAGAGCTAGTTCCATCCAGGACAGGATCCAAAGCTACAGAGAAGCCCTGTCTTGAAAAACCAAAACCAAACAAACAAACAGGAGAAAAAAAAAAAAGAAAGCAAGCAGAAGTTCAGGTAATGGGCAGGACATCAAGAAATAGAGCAGTAAGTCTTCAGAGACAGGCATTGTCAGTGAACTGTTAAAGTTGTGTAGTCTTGAAACCATTTCCCTTCTAGTGAAGACACGAAGACCATCGCTTCATTTCATACTTGTTCATCATCAGGGGCTTTAGAAACTGAACAACTGTTACCTGTCTTTTAATCTCTTCAAGGAACTAATGGAATGTTTCACAAACTTAGAAAGTATTTGTTGATGAAAAATGGCAATGGCACAGAATAAGTTAAACCTCAAGGAAATTAATAAAGTAAGGATGTTGCTTTTGCTTTGGGTAAAGAAATATTAATGAAGTACTGATTGTAGTCACTGTTGCCTTTAGGGTTCTGACTAGGGAAGCCTTTCGGAATGCTTTCCTCTTATGTACAAGTACTTACCTTTTAACTGGAGATAATTTTTGATGAACTAGAATGTAAGCTCCATTGGGGCAGGGTTTTTTTTTTTTTTCAAATGTTGTTCATTACTGTATTCCTAGCATCTACAACTCGCACAGCTGACAATAAACATTTGAAGAATGAATGATCGGTGAGCAAAGTAATCAAAGTGATGGGTGAATGAGCTGTGTTGTAGAATTCCATTATTTTGTAATGGTTCTCAAATTATATGTTGACCTCACTTGACTAGGAGCTTTTCCAACTTCACCAGCAATCACGTATTATGAGAAGAGAATTTTAAAATGGGAGAAGTAGATGTCTGCTCCTTATAGGCAAGGGCTTTCATTAGATACAGCGTAGAGAAAGTAGAGATGATTCTTGGTTTTCAATAGGTGGGTAATCCTAATCCTCAGTGTCTACTAACCTGGCGTATGAGTCAAAGAGAACATACTTTATGTCAAAGTACTCTTGTCTGTTGTATCCTAATTAGAAAAACAAGAGTAGTGCTGGGGTTGTAGTTCAGAACTAGCATGCCAAGGCCCTGTGCTCCATTTTCAGCACTGCAAGATGTAGAAAATTTTCCTTCTCTGTGTGATTTACAAAATAATCATAGAATGTATAATTGTGAATTTGGAATAAATTTCCTAGGGATAAACACATGATGTAGTATGTAGAGATTAACCTGACTGAGGATTCAACCTGTTTATTAAAGTGATATCATACCTATGTGAAGTATCTTCCGGTTAATGAATGTCTGGCTTCTTTAAGGTGCGTTATACAGTGCGGTCTTCAGTTATCCATTGACTAATTGAACTGCTGTTGTAGCTATATGATTTGCCCAGCAGAGACAGCATGCAGAGAGGAGATGAAGAGCAGTAAGTTGTTAGCTTCTAATTCAGCAGACTAATGGTTAGACAGTGTCTGATGGGGCAAGAGACTAATGGTTAGACAGTGTCTGATGGGGCAAGAGGAATTATTTGGAACAAATTATAGTATACCTGTTGTTTTGAGTGAGCTTGGAATCTAATTGCTTCAGGGATGTCACTTTTAA